ATCAAGATAGGCATTTGGTTTGTTTATTTTAGCCAATTCTCCGCTACTTTTCCCTTTGAACTACTGATCTAAATATTATATCTTACATCCAGAGCATGACTGGCATCTCTTTTTGTTGAAGGGTCTTGTTAAGCTGTTAGATAGAACAAATTTATAGGACGTTTATTCTTCAACACCCTCATGTGTATGCCACATTCATATTTTAATGGAAGGCCTGTCACGTTCGTAGTTTCATAAATGGGTGGCAAGGAGACTTGAGCACATGAGCTTGTGTGTGCTTTGATATCATATTGAACCACCTCATCTAAAAACTTTAATTGTTAGACATGGGACACATTTATTTATTTAAATACGTGCAAGCCAAATTTATATTTTCATGAAGGCTTGATGCTTGAAAATTTCTTAAATGGTTGGCAAGGAGACTTGAACTTGGAACATCAATATGCTTTTATGTCATGTTAAGCTATCTCATCGAAAAGTTTAAATCATTTTACTTTAATCTTTAACACTCTTGACGTGACAAAGTAAATGTGCAGGTAGCATACTTTGTCGGGGTTCAAATAGACGATAGTTGTAAGAATCAAGAGGAGAATGGGTTGAGTCCACATAGGAGGCAGCTTGGTGTTGTGGGTGCCGTTAAGGTTGCTGTGAGGAGCTTGTCAATGGGTGCCAGCACCTCCTAGATTGTGTATAATTTTCTTTTAGCTGTTCAGTCATTTATACTCTACCCTTTGAATTGTATTTCGTTATAGTTGATTGAAAGCCAAATTTACTTATAAGTTGCCACAGAACTATTGCGAACTGTTTGCAAATAAAGACATTCATTCAAAATTAAGATCTTTGTTTTAGTCACTCGGCCTTTTATTGATGAGGAAATGTGTGAAATTGCACGTCTTTTTCATTCTCGATATCATACTTATTGAAAAGGTTGTTACCGGAATTTGGCTGGGGTTGCATTGTACGGACCACTACGGTTACTCGGACTGGAAAGAATTTGCATTCTGGTCATTTTTCACAGAGTTGGATTATTATTATTGTTACTAATAGTTTTAGTGTTGCAGATATTATGAAGGATAGATGTCCATAACCCCAAGACTTAATTTTCAGTGGTTTTTTTGAATTGGTTGATTTATATGTTAAACCATGGATTGATTGTATTCCGAGTTTTATTTCGACCGCAATCTGTAGTGAAATGAATAAAGTTTATTGTGGTGCACAAAAAAAAAAAAAAAAAAATTTCCCTATATTACTTTAATCCTCCATTTCCTATTAATTACAAATGTTACAATTCTTTTGTAACTCTTGAGTGGGTTTTAGCTTGAACAATGCTACATTTACCGTCCACCTTTATAGCCTCCTTCACAGTCCACTCACATGAAGGTGGGGTCCACACATGGTAGGTCCCACCCACGTGTGAGAGGACCGTGAAACTCACTGTGAAGGGGGACTGTACATTTAACAAAATTGTTTTAGCTTTGAGTGTACAAGTTGTAAATGGCAATATATGATATAAATGAAAAGGATATTTCTTTTGTCTCTCTTGCTAATTTTTTTATGCTTGTTGATTTATTTCACCACGTCATAATCACCATGCTTTGTCTTTTCATGATAGTGATTGCTTTTAAGATGAGTGTCACGTTAAAATCCTGCAAGTGGAAAGTATCGTAGCCAAGTAATAAAGTGTGCTACAGTATTGTTTCGTGGATATTACATTATTAAATTAGATTCCTATTAATGCTAACTTTAACCAAGTAGCAAAATTTTATGGAAATGGATGATTGCAAATTAAGTCTATAACTAATCTAAATATAAACCTTTTAACTAATTGAGAACCATGTATGAAACTCAATTAGTGGAAAATACTATGACTTCGAATCCGCCTATATTCTCCCTTTTCAATACCAAACCAAGAATTTGATAGCACCACTCAGATTTGAAATCAATGTTCCTATTTTATTTAATAATTTCTCTCGAGTGGAATTAAACATATCCTTACATATGATCCTAATATATCTCTATGAAGGATGCATATACATGATGATGCATTATATTACAAAAACATTCATAAGATCATGTGAAGTACAATGATATATTTCTATGTCTTATAGGACCTTACAATTATTGTTATTATGTGTTATAATTCTCTCTCTCTCTCTCTCTCTCTCTCTCTCTCTCTCTCTCGTAGAACTGGGAGAACTAACATTCAATTTTGGGGCATCAGGGCGATGCTCCCAATTCTCTTCAACAAGAAAGAATTTGTCCAGCCATTCTCGGACTTTATTAGCGAACGAAAAAAGGTCTTGCATCCTTATCCGGGGCGAGGGAAAATTTTCTATCAACCCTTGGAATCATTCACCTCGTTGGGGCAATATATCGAAACAAAAAGATCGGCTGGCATCTCCCTTCGAGCTTCACTAGATGCCAAAGTAAATAGGCTGCTACCATTGGGGCCACTGATTCGGCTTCACTTGTGTGGGCGCCTAGTTGAAATAACTTCAGATAGAACGATAAAAATGATGCAGTGGAAGGCAAAATCCGTGCTCCATCACCAGTTCGCAAATCGACAAACAACCTTTTGGAGGTTTTTTTAATGCAACAAATATTACATAAAGAAGATCATGGATTCGACTCAGGATATCGCGACTGAAGAAACAAGCAAAGATCAGCTATGTAGATAAATTTGAAATTCCTTATCAGTCAAGGTCCAAGCTGAAAGCTAACATGACACAAATGCTACAAACTGATGGACAGTTAGATTGATCCCACAAA